GTGTCAACACCTCGCTACATGGCCACGAATGCTCTTTGATCACGTGGTAGACGTGAAGTTTAGGGAATGCCAGACATGTTTCCATATCACATTATGTGGTAATATTATCGATGGAACGAATTTGTGTATATAATTACAAAGATTACATCACTTATTTTCGTTTACAATTAAATTTAGAGACTATCAAGAGATCTAACCTAAAATCAGTATTCACCCAAATATGTGACATGATGTTCTCTGAAATTGATGTCTGCCTTGCAGTCATGCGGCGTAGTGGTTAACGTGTTAAGACAATAAACGACCTTACCACAACTCGAATTAGAGTCCCGCTTGTGGTGCTGATAAGACCAGTCCAGGAGAAGTCGAAACTGCAATCCACCCCTGCCTGGATGAGAATACCTTTTGGGAAGCAAAGCCATACGAAATCCAATGGAAATATGAGGCCTACTCATATGATTGTGGGAAAATTCAAATACCAATCTTTCATCAGATTCAACGAAATAGGGTGAATACAGCCCTTATGTAAGATCGAATGGTAGCCTCGAAAACCTACTTATAAAAACAGACAACTATATACTCACGTATCTGGAGTAGCCAACCATACATATTCAAGTTGCAGGATTACCGGGTCAGTGCGAGGCATTCATTTAATAAGGAACTGTCTGAAAATACCTAAACGTTGTCAAATAAGATAATCCATTGAGCAATAAGCAGCATGGTGAATGACTATTAAGTTGAAGCAATTGAATAGTTATTCTTAAATCGATCAAATGGGAACAAGTGATGTTGCAAATTCCGCTTTTCAGTATTGTTAAAAGCATATTTAAGAAAAAATCCTTGAAAATGTAATTTTTCCATAATCTCCTGACTGTTTAAATTTTATAGTCGAATAAAGAGTGGGTGGTGTTGGTGGTGTTGCTTCTGATGTCTCATAATAGTTTTCGTAGAGAAAACAAGGAATAAAGCAAGCCAATATACTTACTTGGAGACTATTGTTTGAAAACTTTGTACAGTCATTTTAAGACAGAGAACTCGCAGTTTCCAAGCTGTCGACGTAATACATTTGTCGGAAATAGAGGCTTTATGGAATTCAGGAAAAGGTGAAAGTGACAAAGGATGCTTACGATAGGCAAGGTCAACAGAATTTCAGACACGGCAAAGCTGTTTTGCGGGCAAATGTTCTCGTCAAGGAGGAGAATTGGAAAGAGAACAGAAGAGATAACCCGCAAAGACATGGAGAGAGAAATTTAAAGTATTCGATCCCAATTGGTAAAATTGCCAAGTCCTAAAAAGATTATTTCATATAAAAGAAATCACATATGCGGAAGCGAAATAACATCAAGCATGAAAACATACGTAGATTACGTAAATCAAGGTATACGTACATGCATTTTATATGCAAACAAACAAATATATATATATAAGTCAGTACTAAGGTTATAAGATGGGCCAGTTTATTTTACGCTATGTAGGAGTTGCATATAAAATATCGTAATGGCCTGGCCGGTAAAGTAAGGTAATTGAGCTGTGTCGAGCGGTCTGTGAAATGCCGCCAATATTGTCAATCTCATTAGTCGCAATGATTGCATCAGCAACTGCGGCCTTCTTTATGTCTCCTGGATGCCCTTTACTGACTATGTTAGTTCTACTGCCACCTGCATCAGCAAGAGAGTCCGAGCCAGGTTCGCTGGAGCTGCCTGAGGCTTGGATAGCAGGGAAGCGAATGAAGTTGAGTCCGTCACCAGATTGCTGAAAGTTTTCGACGTCGATATTCACGCCCACAGAGAGGGCCAAGGCAGCAACATGGATGTTGTCACATTCCTTTGACATGGGCTCTACTTCCTAAAGTGAAGCAAGAGTAAGATGAGGTGAATTAAAACACGCTAAATAAGATGAATCGTAGAATATTCATTTAGCTTATAGTAGATAATTGAATTTTACATCGCATTTTTTTCAAATCTTTGCAATAATTCCCTAATCCTAACATGCTAAAGTTATCCATGCCGGAAAGTAAAGAAAATGAAAGAACTGTCTAATTTTCCTAATTGAGAGCCATTTTTAAGTAGAGTAGCTAGATTGGGTCTGACCTTGTTTTCGCAACTTAGTCATGTTGTCAGGGTGACCTAGTTGGACGCAGCATATCCGAATACCTCAGCTACAGTAGATAAGATAATACCCAGAGTTGGACTGTGGACTTAGCACCAAGCTAAAACTTGTCAAAGAGACAAGTAAAGTCATTCCATTGAGGAACTTTCTGCCAATCCATTGTGTTATCACTTCCTATGTCCTGGTACCTACTCCCTATTCTCATATTTCACTCCCAATCACAACTTCCGTCATGTTTATATCTGATTCCTTTAAAGGTCGCCCTTTGTTAGCGAGTTTAGTGGGGCGTTATAACACATGAGTGTTTACCTTGCTCCTCCCCCTCCGTTTCGTTTATTATAACTACTTGATTGACAAATTTTACTTGGTTCCGGTCACATTAAACGCTTGATGCTGGCCTAAATTTCATTTTGTCTTAAAAAGCGGGTGGAAGGGATTTGCTAATTGGCCGCACTGGATACCGAAGGAGGGTTGCCTTGGGCTTGTGATTGTTGGCTTGTGCGAAAAAGATCTGGGCTCACCAGCCTGCCAACTCCATGACTCCGTGTTAAGCTCTTGTCCGTTATAGGATGGACATCGTCAGAGAAAAAATCATTAGTTACGCAAAATCACCAAAATAATGAAACCAAAAAGGTGGACTTCTGATAATCATGTTCATCATTATTCCACTCTTCAGTCTGTAGTTATAACGAAATTGCAAATGGAGCATTATTCCAGTTTACAAACCAAAATGAAAAAAAGGATCAAGTGCACAATAGAAGTAGAAGAGGAGGAACACTTATCTTTCCTGGATGTTCTGAAAGAAGCGATATTCCGGAATAATACTCGATTTCCAGTCTCCTCACAGCTAGAGACTAAAGATAGGCATAATGATGAGAATGATTATCAGAGTCTAACAAATGATGGACGTGGATTCTGGGACGAATAATTAAACGCATTGACTCCGATGTCCCTCGGCAACGGATACACGATGGAAGTAATACAAAACAAACAGGCCGATTGCAGGAAGGGAATTATAAAAGAAAAGGATGGAGAAAGACTTATAAAAGGGCATTTGCCTACCTCATGAAATGTAATTAAAAATCTATGTGCACTATTAAAAAAATGGAATATTTAGATGATCAAGAAGGAAAAAAATACATTCTACACAATTTTACCGACTCAACACGAGAGAGTAGACAAATAGGATTGCTCCAGAAT